AAAAAAGAAATCCAGTAGCAGGTTCATATCAAGGAGCACTACCAGACGGAATCTATGATTACGTAGGTAATACTGGTGGAAAATTAATTATTTGGGTATCTTTTAATTATATCAATTCCTAAAGAACTAAGAGTCCATTTTAAGCATCTCAAAAATAAACTTTCTAAAGCAGGGATTTGGAGTATTTCTTCAAATAAGCTTCAAGGATGAAGCAATAGATATAACGTTATTTTTATTTATTTATCAAATGTATGTAGCCTTCCTTCTCCAGTGCACTGCTCGGAGAGTCCAAGCGTGGGTTAACACAGCCTATCTGCCCTTGGACTGAGTGATGTTTTTTCAGTTGACCACGCCTCCCTTTGCCTCTGCATGTTCAGTTTGAAAACTCAGTCCGCCCGTTGGGACTGGGACTGTTTTGGGAATGTTCCAGTCTGAGGTCAGATAGGCTGGATAGTTTCCCACATTGAACCACGTTTGACTTCTGTATTTTGGAAGAATTGTCCAGTTGTAGCAAAAACTGTCAGATTTGATTTCCTGGAGGTTTGTGTCGCTTTAAGAGGGCACCCGGGCTTCCCCTGCAGCTGCTGGTTGCAAGCGCTCCAGGGGACTGTGAGCCCTCGCCCAGCGGCTGCTGGCGAGCGGCAAGGGCGGTGGGAGACCATCCCAACCTGAGCCCAGGGGTTTTGAAACCCCCAGCCGACATTCAGGGAGCCTGCAGGCCTCTTCACCGCTGGCCAAGTCGGCTCTCAACTCTGCCCGGCAACAGCGACGACGGTTGAACCTTTCGCGCGCTTTTCGGGCTGTGAGGGCGAAAAAGAGTGGGAGGCGGCTGCGCACACACCCACCGCCATTTTGGATTGCTCCGGAGCGAGGCTGAGAAGAGGAGAACGCTCAGATCGTGAGGAGTTCGGAGATCGTCAAAGCTTTGCTCGTGGAAGAGCAGAGGCCCCAGACAGCCCTAGCAGAGATAAAGCCGGCCCTCAGTGACTGCAGAACGCTGCAGGGAGGCTGGGGACTAGTCCGGGGAGCTAGCTAGTCCCTCCCTCCAAGGAAGAAGCTAAGTCTCGGGGATCCGAGGGCGGTGGGAGGAAGGAATCNTGCTTTGTCTTTTCTTCCATTGACAACAGATATTCCATGAATGTTTCCTGCAACCATGCCATAACAGTGGAACTTGCAAACAGGTTGGAAGTGGTTATATTTGCATATGCCCACCAGGATATGCAGGTAAGTAATACGGTTGCAATCCTCCCTAAACATCATGCTTCGACAGGTATATTGCCTTTTGAAAAAAAAAAAATTAAGAAGTGTTCCATTAATATTCAAACAAGGAATACCCTGTTTCCCTAAAAATAAGACCAATCAGGCTTTTGAGCACGTGTGCTAAAATAAGCCCCCCCCCAAAATAAGCCCTCCCTGAAAATATTGCAACACAGCAGTAGCCATAAGGTGACCATGTTTGCTGCCTCCTGCACCTCAAAAATAATAAGAACTCCCCAAAAATGAGGCCAAGTACTTATTTCGGGGGGTCAAAAGAAGATAAGAAAAAAAATAACCCTGTCTTATTTTCTGGGAAACACAGTAGAAACATTTCTTGAAAAGCAGGCCCACTGTTTTCATATGAAGGACGAGAGCCTAAAAATTGTGAAAGAACAAAATGTTAGTTGTAGCCTAAAAAAAACCTCAAATAAAAAGTTTGGGAGGTATCCTATAAATATATTGGAGTGTCTCTGGCTACATGAAATAGTCTTTCACAAGGTCTTCTGTGAATAAAAGAAATTTTTAAAGAGATTTGTTGACTTCTTGTTACTGCTCCAAAGGCTTTCTTTTTAACTTCTGTTTTGTAGCAATACGTATCTGATTTTTCCCCTTCGTTTAATTATATTTTTTCATTGCCATATTATTATTTTAATATCATTTTATGTACTTTGCAGCTGTTAGTCTTCTTTCACCCTGTTTCATTATAAATGAACAATTTTTGTTGGGCTAAGCAGGTTAGCATCATTTATATTAAATATGAATTTTGCAGTTGTTAAAACTATATATCACTAATTATACTAGCCTCTCTGAATATTTTTTCTTTAGACTGATAGCTTTCATGGATCCTTCAAAAATTTTGTAACTTAACAATAGTGGAAATAGTGAAACTCACCCCCTCAGTTCTTAGTATATGTGGATCCTGTACATATTCAAATAATGAGTCCTTGCAAACCCTGCTTAAAATCTAATAAAAGTATATGGAATTATTAATTTGATCTGTACTCATACATTAAGAATGAGTAAAACAGGACAGAATCTATCTATGCCTTTTGCAGGAGACATAACAGTTTAGCAAAATATTTCAATTTCTGTTTAAAATGTATCAGTAAAAGGTCACATAGACCTTGAATACTGCAAAAGTTAGCTGGAAATAAATGGGTGGATTTTTTTTACAGTAAAGAGCTATCTGCTTGGAACCGGGAGAAATTGAGGGCTGAAAAGAAAACAAATACAAAGGAAAGCAAACAGATTTGTCAGGACAGATTTTAGACATTTGGTCCTTAAATGTCTATGTCTGAATCTTTGTACATCCAGATATATTTCTTGGTGCTGAATTAGATTTGGCAGTCCTTTTTGGCAGTCTACGCATTTAACAATAAAATGAGAGGCAAGTGTGGGTTTAACCACATTGTTCTCCGTGTGAAAAATTCAACAATAGAGATGGATACAAATTTCACTGAGTTTAGTTTTCACCAAAAATTACACATTTACAGAGGAAAAGCAGAGGAAAAAACATGATTTTTAAAATGTAACCTAGCATCACTGGTGGATTGGTCTGTTTTATCATAAACTCAATTTTGTTTTAGTATTCAGATCAATTAGAATATTTAATTGAAACAGAATATCTTTTGAGCTTTTAATTAAACCAAAGCCTCTAATGCCTGCCTATCAACAAGCTCAGTAGCAACTAGAACCAAATAGACTCTGAGATGCATTAGCTGCATCTCCCAGTTTCATATCTGTTTCTAACCTAGGTGTAAATAGATTCAAATTCCCCTCCTCCACAAAAATTACATTTTATTTTTCTATTATTTGATATTTACTTGATGTGTTTTGCACTTTTGGTCTACCCCGATTTATTTTTCTTTGTGTTCTTTTGGGTTGTGTTCTAGGATTAAAATGTGAAAAAGAGATTGATGAATGCAAGTCATCTCCCTGTCTCAACAAAGGGATTTGCAAGGATGGCTCTGCAGCATTCATTTGCCAGTGTCAGCCAGGCTACTCAGGTGACAAATGAACTAAAGCAGTAAAGAATCATCTCCAGGTTGCAAATTTGAAAAAAAAAGTTATGGCTTACATTTATTGAGCTTGTGAATATCTTGCCTTCTGTATTTTGCTCATTTCATAGAGATTGAAGGGTTGTTGGGCTGTTGTTGTTGTTTGATGAACTGTGAGAAACAGTTCAACATAAATGTTATTGCTGTTGTATGCTGGGCATGGAAAATGATAATTGTTCTCCAGTGCACTGCTCAGAGAGTCCAATGCTGGGTTAACACAGCCTATCTGCCCTTGGACTGAGTGATGTTTTT